TGTGACACTATTTCCTTTCCCTATAACCAATAGCCTTAGCAATCCATCTGCCATTCTCTACACCCCCTGAAAAAGTTGAGATTCAAGCTTTTCGTTCTCTTCTCTGCTCTGGCTTTGTGATACAAGGTGAATGGAAACTCGCTAGCTACACTCCTTCACTCATCAGTATGTTGGCTTACTCGTTCACATCATCTCTTTACACTTTGTGACTTTGTCAAAAGGAAACACAGTGGTGTGAAAAAATGCCCCCTTTATGATTTCCTTTTTTGTATGTTTGTCACACTTAAAAGTTTCAGATCAAACTACATTAAATATTAGACAAAGATAACACAAGTAAACAAAAATGCAGTTTCTAAATGAAGGTGTTAATTATTAAGGGGAAAAATATCCAAACCTGCTGGTTGGGCCACCCATAGCAGCAACAACTATCAAGCATCAAGCATTTTGGTCGCCTCATCTTTGTAGAATTGTTGTAATTCAGCCAAATTGGAGGGTTTTCGAGCTTGAAGCATCTTTTTAAGGTCGCCACAGCATGTCAGTCGGATTCAGGTTAGGACTTTGACTAAGCCACTCCAAAGTCTTCATTTTGTTTTTCTTAAGCCTTTCGGAGGTGGACTCGCTGGTGTGTTTTGGATCATTGTCCTGCTGCAGAACCCAAGTGTGCTTTAGCTTGAGGTCATGAACAGATGGCCATACATTCTCCTTTAGGATGTTTTGGTAGACAGCAGATTGCATGCTTCCATTTACCACAGCCAGTCTTCCAGGTCCTGAGGCAGCAAACCAGCCCCAGACCATCACACTACCGCCACCATATTTTACTGTTGGTATGGTTTTAGTTTTTTGAAATGCTGTGTTACTTTTACTCCAGATGTAATTGGACATACACCTTCCAGAAAGTTCAACTTTTGCCTCGTCAGTCCACAGAGTATTTTCCCAAAAGTCTTGGGGATCATCATGATGTTTTCTGGCAAGACTGAGATGAGTGTTTATGTTCCTTCTGCTCAGCAGTGGTTTTTGACATGTCGCCATTTTTGCCCTGCCTCTTTCTTATGGTGGAGTCATGAACACTGACCTTAACTGAGGCTAGTGAGGCCTGCAGTTCTTTGGATGTTGTTCTGGGGTCTTTTGTGACCTATTGGATAAGTCATCACTGCGCTTTTGGGGGAATTTTGGTCAGCCAGCCACTCTTGATTCTCCGCTGTTCCATGTTTTTGCCATTTGTGAATAATGGCGCTCCCTGAGGTTTGCTGGAGTCCCACAGCTTTAGA